TCATCCCTCACGTTCTTGCGGCTTATTTGTCGAGCGTCTATCTCTCCCTGCGGGCTGTGTTTAATAAAGTCACGCAATGTGTACGTGCCACGGCCGAATGGGAAAACCGTGCGCACGGCGTTATTCAATGTCTATCTCTTTGGTTGTGAAAGTTGATGCGAACCCTTTGTGGGACCGACACGTTACGAGGGTTTAATTTTCGCACAAGGCGCGCGTCGCCTATTGACCTAATAAAGCCGAACTTAAACTTTAACGATTGCTATCGTAAACCGCGGTTGTTCGATGTATCCTGCTGTTCGTAGACTGTTATGTGGCTACCGTAGGTTTAGGGTGGCGGCTGATGGTGACAAAATACGAGATTCGAATACGAATTCGATTGTCGTTCTCGTTTCGTTATCGGGATGATTACATATGAATTATTCCGGAATATATTATATTAGACTGTCAACATGATTATCGCGAGGAATAGTAAACAATCTGAGAAGACACATTAATTTTAAAATTTTTGTAACTGTAATATTTTATTTGCGGTTATAAAAATAATAAAATAATTATTGTAATGAAAAAAAATCTAAAATTGGACGCACGAAACAGTTGAGTATTATGTTTTCTCAAATATATGATTTATTATTAATTCATCGAGAAAGAGAGAAAAAAGAGAAAAATAGAGAAAGAGAGAGAGAGAAACAAAACTATGGGATACATGACACCGTGATACAATCAAGAAATTTTTGCAACGCTCTCACTATTATTCTGTAGCTTAAATTTGTGTTATATATGATTTCTGCCTGTTTTGTTTCGCAAAATGTATGACAAACATTTATCGCAACGTGGTCGCGTCGCAACAAGAGCCATTCGACAATATGTTAATAATGGTAATTATACTGTTGATAGTTGGTTAATGATTTGTAACCACCGGCTTCGCGTATCGCGTTTTTTTTTCTTTCTTTTATTGTTATTTCGTTTACCATCGAATGCTATATCGTATGCATGTTTTCGCGATTACGGCTATTTATATTTGTTTAGATCGATATTGGTTCGTTCTTGATTTCAAACGAATTAACCAACTAATTAACACGCGCTACATTGTTTCATTTATTTTGACTCGCGCAAAAAAAATCTCGTTGAATAGTTTAATATTATTTCTATCTATCCACACACACAAAGTTATTGTTACGAATATGCAATTATGTTTGAAATCGTATTGTTCATAAGAACATAACGCGTACAAACAATATAAATTGTACATATATTACAAATTTCATTTAATAATGTCACACCGTATATTCGCGCATTTCACCTCTTCTACGTACATGCGTTCACAAAATTCTCTTCCGCGGATCGTATACAGCTTTGCTTAACGGTCCGTATAAACTTTACGAGCGTTCCGGTTGAAACGGCGGGAGAAATTTCTTTCGAAGAGATTCATTCTCTAGGCGAAAGATGGGATTTCGCCTTAAGGTCCGCACAAATCGATCTGTACAATATACACACGCAGTCGCAATCCATTACTTATTATGTCAAATTTAAACAGATAGCGTCGTTATCTGCTAAGATAGAAATGAGAAAAGATATGAAAAGGCGGCACACACATATTCGAAAACAAATGTTTTTAAATGAAGAGATTTATATAGATATACAAGGTATATAAAGCTATAATTTAAAAAAAACTGTTTTTGTTTTTGTTTATTAAATAAGAAAGATGAGGTTACAGAATTATGACGTAATCTTCTGTTTTTTGTGTTAAAAATATAAGTTTTATGATAGAAAATATTTCTTGTGAAGAGAGAGAAATAATTCTGATAAAAGCTTTAGATAATAATAGATTTCTAACAAAAAACTGCCTTTACCTCTGTATGGATTCCTGTGGTCTACTTTACGGCTCGGTAAGTAAATTCTTTCTTTTTGAAAGAAAACTTATTTATTTTTATTTAACGCGGATACGCAAAGATCTTATTTTCCGAATATTTTCACAGTGCAAAATATAAAAAACTATCGCACAAAATCAAATATAAAAATGGAAAGTATAATATATGCTACCAAAATTTCAACATTAATTTAAATTTAAATTATATTTCTTGTTGTCTCTCAAACATCGCAAATAATTTAAAAAAAAAAAAATTTTAAAAAAAAAAAAAAAAAAAAAAAAAAAAATGTCGACGTCTTGACGAAAGATTTTAGGCGGCGCGGTCACAGTTGTGCACCGCGTTTATTCCTGAAATAAAAGATGAACCGGTAGTTTGCGGGGGCGCTTTAAAGTTCTCATCAAGCGATCGAGGTCTGTGGGACACTTCTGTGTCTCATTGTTCCCTTTGTTTAGTGTTTATGCTGCTGCACCCGGGGACTACAGCGCGGCATGCCTGGCGGCAGGCCTCGGTGTCGGTGGCGTCGAGGCTGCGATGGCCCCGGCGACGGGCAAGGGACTGAGGGGGTGAGAGGAGGAGGTGAGGTCGCCGGGGAGAGAAGCTTTCATTAAGCTTGCATTGTCCCAGCACCGCGCTATTATAGCCGAGTGAATAACTTCGAGCTATCCTGGTAGTCATGCCGCCCTTGTCCTTTCTCTCTTTCTCTCTTATCTCTCCCTTTTTCCTCTCCCTCTCTCTCTCTCTCTCTCCTGTTCTATCTTCCGTTTTATCCTTTTCCATTTTTGTTTTGTCTCGCGTACACCATCCTTGCGTGTTACATTTTTCTCTCCACGTCCCACTTTCGATATTCTCTGCGTGCTGCGATCCCACCCTCATTCTTCCCCTGTCACGTTTTCCAGGTGGCTCGTCTCTCTTCCTTCTTTTGCTCAATTTGACGCGTCTCCAATTTATTCCACGATCTCGACGGTCATCCCGTTAGCGGCGGGCGTAATATTAACGAACCGAACGCCGATATAACAGTAACGGCAAATCGCTCAAGCGGCGCCGGTGTGGTATCGAACCGCGTCCCGCGTTCTGGGATGCCATCAGAACGCGTGGAGTGCTTCCGTTCAATTCATCCGTGGATACGGCGTCGTCGACAACAGTGGTATAGTGGGGCTTTTAACGAGTACGGCCCTGTAAAACCTTGACTGTCCCGTTTGTTAATTACACGCTGCGATCTCGTCGTATCTATACCTCGTTTGTTTGACGACCATTTTAATCCCGCCTCTCTCGCTATCCCTCTCGGTCATTTTTGCCAACCCTGTCGAACGTGTTCGACCATTGTTATATATATATATACCGTCAGGATATGCCTGAATCTCGTTACCAGGTTTCATGGTGGTCGTTAATGATGCGGGAAGGAAGTACTGAACGCAGAAGAGACAAAGAGAGAGAGAGAGAGGGATAATCGTCGGGGATAACAGGAGAAACGCGTCATTCCCGATGATTACATTTGATTTCTAGAGGTACTTGATGCGTTCAATTATATTTCCTCTCGGGATTTGCTTCTTCATTATAACGAACGTTCCGATGGCCAACGTTTCATTTTCCTCCTTCTCGTTCATCCTTTCTCTCGCTCTTTCATTTTCTCTTCTTTGTGCTGTATCTATTTAGTGATGTAAAGTTATATCGCTACGCATAATATTGCTCTGAGCGGGAAGCTGGTTTATATTCGAGAAGTGAACTCTGTGAAAGCAGGTCACAATGAATTTTCATAGTGAAAATAAGCATTCCATGGAGTTACGTATAGACAAAAGATTCATGCAGAATAATTTTAAACATTTATAATAAAAAGTAATTTTATATATTGCTGAAATATGTTGAGTAAATTTGAACACTATTGATCTGGATATATTATTTATTCATTGAAATAATAATATGTATAATTAAATCATATTTTTATAAATTGAATGAATACGCAATAATATATATGTAGAATTTTTTTCTGTTTCTATACTCGAAACAAATAGCATAGTAATTTATTCAATATATTGTATTATAAAAATGTGTTTAAATTTTACGTTTACATCATTGTCAGCAAAATTAAATTTTAGAATTCTACACAGACAATTTAAATCTACACACACATTTAAAGTATATATGTTATATAATATATTTAATCTTTTGGCTTTTTTTATATAAAAAATAATTTATAGATAATTTTATAAATAATTTTAACTCTTATCAAACTATGATCGAATGCGATAAAGAGTGAAATCAGCTGCAACTAAAAGATTTTTTACTATTTTACTTTACCCTCAGTAGTTTCTATATTTTTATGTCTGCTATTTTTATTCTAAAATTGGATATTTTCATATGCTTTACTTTACCCTCAGTAGTTTCTATATTTTTATGTCTGCTATTTTTACTCCCGACTGCTGCCAACCTCAGGTTGGCAAAAAACGGAGGGAGTATGCGTTTTACCGAGCTCGGATCGGTTGTCCGAATAATTCTCGATAACTACTACATAATTTGATATCATCTTTTGCTCAAAAGCTTCTTATTATTCTAAAATTGGATATTTTCATACGTATAGCATTCAATCTATAAGATCTCCGTATAAAGAATCTTCTTCGTACAAAGAATGACTTTCAAATGCATAGAAAGCAGATTACATTGCCCAATATATTTCAGGATTATCGCGCGAAAATCTTATTAGAAAATTGCGAATTACGAAATTCGCGAGGTTGCTATTGTTCGCCAAATAAGATTGCAATTTGCAATCACTACGATCTTCCGAATTGCTTATTAAACGACGCTGTTTTCTCATTTTGAATTTTATTAGAGAATTTAGTTAAGAATCTTTCGCGAAAATGGAATAACTAAAAATAGAACGAATCATGTATCGTAATTCATGTAAACTGCGATGTCGTATTATTTTATTAAAATATGTGTAATGTATCTTGAAATTCTTTTCAAAAATCGAGTGTTGCAAAGTTGCGATGAAATCATATTAAACATCATTTTAATCCGATCTGTTTATTGTGTAACAATGTTCAAGTAACATCTGTTCTTTTTTTTTATGTTTCTGTGAGACCACAGAATTGCATTGACGTTGAGGCATTGACACTAATTGCTTAATACCTGTTTCAGATACTCCATCGTTTGCGATAACGCGTTTACCTGGTTTTGGAATTCCGATCGTCGAGGGGATGTCTGTCAGCCTGAAATGCGAGGTAGACAGCAATCCAGCTAGCACTCCAATTTGGCAGCGCGGTAAGTTGCAAGCGAAAAAAATAAAAATTAATTAAGAGGCTTTAGTTTTGAGACTCTTAGTTTTGAACTTTCTTCGCGAAACAATTTTATATTCAGAAATATAAAATCTTTTTTTAAAGTTATCAATTTTTGAATCGGTCATACTTTATGTAGAATAAGAGGAAGTGTGATATTTGCTTTTTTAGTCGAATTCTTTCTTGGATCTTTATTATGTTCAGACCTCGAGAAACCGTCTGTCTTTCAACCAACGATACAACGAAATTTATTATTCATGCTGCTTTATTTGCAAAGATATTAATTGTATTTTATTCATTTCGAGCAACACGTGTACATATACTTGGAATCGAATTAAAAATGTAATATTCATAATTTATCCGCATGTTTCAAGACAAGAACATTTCGAGAAGAAAGTATAATATTAAATTAATATGCATATTAACCGCCTCATTGATATCTTAATTTTCATCACTAATACCACTCACAATCAGTTTCTCGTGTGCGAAGTTTTTATGAACTCTTAAAGCTGATAATCATATTACACACATGTATCACGTTATACTTTATTTTTCATTTGAAGTCCTTCATTTGAATGGCGTGGCGATTAACTCCTCTCGGCAATAATGTAATCCGTATTTTTCACGGTCGGTAATTTTTGGCGATTTAAATACGTCCGGTAATGAGATTTTTAACGAGTTACTACCGCTGCAAATAGCCTTACCCATAAAGCGAGTTTCAATATACCAATTTACGTTAGTTGAAAACACGTTTTACTTAAGAAACCTATCGACTAATATGAAATAGGTTTTCCCTTTTAATAAAATATGAAAGTATTTTAATAGCTTTTTTAAGAAATTAAAAATCTCACAGCGTCACACGAACTAAATACACCCCAGATATACATAAGAGATTTTTTATTCAATCTCAGGCTTTATTTTAAAAATTATCTTAAATTTCAATTTAATAAAATTTACAGTTATGCGTTAATTACAAATATCCAAATCTGACTGTTAAAAAATTAGTAATGATTTAAGTAATTTTCCACGAAATATACAGCAAAAAAGTAAATTACAAATTAATCACAGAATCCCTATGAGAAATGAATTACTTTTAATATACATTTCAAATATGTATTAAAATATATAGGTACACACACAAACTTTGATACAATATTTTTTAATAAAGTTATAATATAATATTTATATATTACATATTAATATTACATATTAAAATATTTTGTATTGTAAAAAAAAAAAAAAATAAATAAAATCCAATTAACTGTTCACACACATGCACCAACATGACTGTCAATTTTTCATCAGGAAATATTTTACAGTTTGGAAGTGCGCGAATTTCGAAATATATTATACATGTTGCATATATATTGAGATTTCGCTGATAAAAAGAATAGTGAATGTGAAATAGAAATCATCAAACAGCATGCATTGTTTGATAATTACGGGGGTTGTCAGTGGACCACTAAAATTTGAGACAATGGTCAACAAACATTAACATGCGTGAGCCCATCGGCTATATACTATATACTGATTCTATCGAGTTTGAACAGAACTTTGCAAATTGTATAAATTAACTAGACGGAAAAATATTGACTATTACGAACCTCTCTTCACCCGTGTATGTCGCATCACGCATTGCGAATGTATTCTTTTTACTTTAACAGAAAAAATTTAGTTTATATTTTAACTAAAATTTTTTTTTTTTTTTTTAAATTGGGGATAGTATTTTATCTATTTCTGCAAAACAAAATATTTTAGTAATTTAAATCACGATTAAGAAATATTGTGTCAAAGTCTATATATATATATTATCTTTTTTAAATAAAGAAGAAATTATAGAATAAAACGTCAATTCGTGATTTCAAAAATTTTTAACTCATTTTTTTATAAATTATTTTATAAATGTTATTATCTTGCTATTTATATAATAAATATACTTCGTAGCATTGTTGCTTTTAATATTTACGATTTAAAAAAGATATATTTTTGATGTGCGTATCCTGCGTGTATCTCTATATATTTGTAGAGAGTACTATTGTAGACGGCAAGTTGCGAAGCACACGTGCATTATTTCGCAACTCCCCCATTCCCTACAGCTTGGAAACGCGTCACGTTGTAGGTAGACACGTTAGCGCGGGCACGTGTAACGGCAACGTGAGCATAATTTAATCACTGTAAACAGGCACTTGGACGGGGTAGAATCTGATGCACATGACCCATCTCGGCGTACTAACGGCTTCGTAATAACTCTAAAGGAGATGTAACTAATCTGCAACCGCGTGCATCGATGCATTGATGAGCGTAACGCGGTTATAATTAAATTATCGCTTTCTCTTGTGCATATCGGATTTTTCGACAAAACATTGTTACTGAATCATAAAAATGCGGCTTGTACGATGCACGGCGAAGGAATTACAACAATGATCGATTCCGTGAAATTTGTATTGTTATTAAAAAATATGATTTCTTCTTATATAAAATAAATATTTAAATCAACTAAAAAGTTTCAGTATTGAAACCGAAGGATTAATTGTATAATAAATAATTACAAAAATGAGAATTGGCATATTGTAGTTGAATTAATAGTATGTTATATATAATTTATTATATATATATAATAATTATATAATATATTACTACACTTATCTAATATATATAATTTTATTACATTACACACAAATAATTTTCCAACATATAATTATATTACACACAAGTAAAATTCTCTTATTAAATCTTGCAAGCGACGTTCTACAAAGTCACAAACTTTCTTTTGTTTTCACACAGAATACTATTGTTACGAACTTACGTGTCATCTCTGTAAACGGTTGTAATTTTCGCGTAATTAAACCATTGCCAACGATATGTGCTTAGCCATGTCAAACGCATGTCGCCGTTCGCAGCACAATGATCTCATCTTTAGCTGGGAAGAAAGGAGAGGATGAGGGAAAGGGAAAACGACGGAACCGAAATTCGGCATTCATGCGATTTCTGTCAACCTTGTCATCTCAACGTCTTTCACTTCCTATCTCTCTCTTTCCCAGATCTCGGGAATTTTGTCGAGAATCAAACGTAGGTAAGATGGTATAGCCACATAATCACATTATTACACGCTGCCACGGGTGCGACAAGTCTATCACGTAGAACGCCGGTAGGAATCGGAACAATGGACAGTCTCGTCCGATCCCTTTCATCCCGACAATTCTCGCCGGCGCGCTTTTATTCGGTTCCGATAGACAGGTGTATGCGCTCGATATTATCCCCGTTTCGATGCGCTACCACCCTGGTTCCGGCCGCGCCTATTTCCGCGTTGTAAATTTCGTGTCGGCATTAAATGGGATTTGCGTTATGGCGCCGTGTACGCGAGCAATGTCGAGGAAGCTGTTACGCGACGCGCGATACCAGAGCAGCATGTTGCCCTTCGTCTAATCTGCTCTATTGGCCAACACCCGTTTACGGAGAAAGAGATAAGGCAATGGGAGAGTGATTATGTATATCAGATACAACGTTGCTTCATCGCGATACTCCACGGGACCAGAAGGAAATTATATAGCCGTTAATTAATAACTACAGTAATGACCTATATAGTTTTACTCATCTATGAATAAATAAATAAATAAATAGCGAGAATAATAATATATTAATTGCATCGATTGTGATGACGTAGGCGACGTTTACGTAGCTTTATATTTAAAATGTAAAGCGATTCTGAGATTATCACGATTTGCAGCTCAGTATATCGACAAACGTATTATAATTAAATTGTATTAAAGTCTGCAAAAAGACGAATTAGAGGGAGTACGCATATAGATTCATTACCATTTGGCTGTTCTTTGTGGTGGGAAAGCTCGCCGCTTTTACGGCCTAATAAATATTTAAAACTGTCTATAATTCTCCTTTCCCTTGAGCAGCCCCTGCCTGTGAATGTTTCACGGCTTTTAATCTCACCGTTATTTCATGTTCCGAGCTTAATCTGCTTTATCTTCATGGTAGATGTGTTCATTGGCTGAAATAAGCGATATAAATCTGTATCTCATAAAAAGTTATCATTATTGCGCAAAAGAGATAAAATTTTTGTGGAGCTAAAAAAAAATATGATCGACATTATTTGAAAGTTAGCAATGTATAAAGCGTGAATTGTGAAAGAAGGAAATTATCTTTCTTTTTTTTTTAAAGAAAAATCTCTGGTTAACATATATATGATATATATATTATACTCAATTTTTAATAGAAATTTATGGCATAAAGCTGAACTACGTACGCTAAAAAAAACGGTTAAAGCAAATAATAATTATATTTCTCTTTATGTTACATATTGATCATGACGTTGGTTGGATGCTTTATTTTACCAAGTTAATGATTTTCATCAGACAATTTCTTGTTTGATATTTTCAGCGAGTAATAAGGCATTAAGACAGTAAAAGTTTAACATTCTCGCTAATTTTATTTTTTTCTAAGCATACTTCCTATAATTTATAAAGCCAAGTCGTTCGTTTCTGAATACGGAAAAGCGATTACTGTAAGCGGGATTAAAAATTAAAGAATTTTCAGAAAAATTATGTTTTAAAGATACAAATTTATTTAAAAAGTGATATGATGCATTTTCTTTTTAATTTTACTCGTGAAAAATACAGCAAGAAATATCGCAATGTCGTTAAAACACGTCGGCTACAACTAGATTTCCAATTTCGATTTAGTGCGCAAAAGGCAAAGCTATATTAACCCACATTCATCATTTCGTACGCGCATCGACGCGTAGAATGCAACTTTACATAAAGGACATCGCGAGACGTTACGTCCGTCGAAGGAATGGTAGCATACTTCCTATAATTTATAAAGCCAAGTCGTTCGTTTCTGAATACGGAAAAGCGATTACTGTAAGCGGGATTAAAAATTAAAGAATTTTCAGAAAAATTATGTTTTAAAGATACAAATTTATTTAAAAAGTGATATGATGCATTTTCTTTTTAATTTTACTCGTGAAAAATA